ATAATAATAATAATAATAATAATAATAATAATAATAATAATAATAATAATAATAATAATAATAATAATAATAATAATAATAATAATAATAATAATAATAATAATAATAATAATAATAATAATAATAATAATAATAATAATAACAATAATAATAATAAAGATTATAATTGTATTCCAATAATTGTAAATGCAAATAGTGTCTTATTGATTAACATAAGTGAATATTTTAAGCATTGGAACAAATGAAAATAACTGATCGATCAACAGGACAATCAACCGGTCTACATCAAACAATAAAACCCACTTATTCGTTCATTCGTTTTGCTCTATTTTTAAAACTTGCTTGTTACTTCTGTGCTTTTTCTTTATTGTTGCTGTTGTTGTTGTTCTTCTCGTTATTGTCATTTTTATCATTATTATCATTGTTATTATTATTATTATTATTATTATTATTATTATTATTATTATTATTATTATTATTATTATTATTATTATTATTATTTTCGTTATTATTATTATTATTGTCTTGGTATTACTTATTGCTATTGTTTCGTACCCAATATTTTTAGCATCCAATCAAACAACGATTGCAAAATGCAACGCATTGGTTGGTTCGATGCATTTCGGGAAAATGGTGATCCAACTTGGTTTGGTGATAATCGAACACCAGTGATATTCGATTTACAAATTGTTATCCTAACATCGATATTTATTACACCATTACTAGCTTTTCTAATTATTCTTCCCGGTGTACGACATTATCGAATCGCATCAACGATTGCATTCATTTTGAGCATTACTGTTGGCGCAATTGTCTTAAGTAAGTTCGAATTTAATTTGTATTCTCATTAAGGAATTTTTCACACAATAATCACTTTACTATAATTCCAAGGAAAGATTTTTTTTAAAGAATATATTGTATTGCAATGCAGTAAGCAGATTGAAATTCGTTAATTGAGCTAAATTAATTATAATAATTAATCACATGGTAATAATATTTCAATGTAGTTCAGTTAAATTGATCAAAGTCATGTTTCTTTCTCCTTTATAATGATATATTTATACTGCATATGTTTATAAACATTCGGATGATTTGAGTTAATCGAAAATAGATGTACAAATATTTATTTTTAGCTTTATATCATTGAACAAAATTAATATTGATATTTTTCTTTTTTTTTTTAAAAAATTGTAAGTGATACGATATCTCCACCATACCTGTTCATTCATAAAATACATTTATTCACTATCAGCATTGCATAAATACAAATTTTCAAGCTAATAAAATTACTAAAAGATTTAAAATTAAAGACTTTAAATTTTGAAAAAAAAAGTAAATTTGTGAATTTATTACCAAAACTATTCATTTCCTTCTAATCCTTTGGTATATTTTTCCATAATTGATCAAATGAAATGAAATGTAAGAAATGCCTTAGTAAAATTTTAGGTCCATTAGAACTAATGAGATTTCTAAATATGATAAACATTTTGCGTCATTCATATTCATCTATTGAAATCTTGTTTTGAATCAAAAATCTGCTCATCATTTTATCGTTCCATCATTAAATGATAAGAGGGAAAGGATCTAAAGAAATAAATATTTGTAGTCACTTTTTTTAATGATATTTTTTAAAATAGCTAGAACTTGGGCTAATAATTTTGATAATTATCGAAGAAAGATTTGCAATAAATAGAGATTTCAATAGCGATTCCTTCAGTTATCGTTTATCTTTCATCCTTTTTTTTCTCTTCTTTTTTTCCCCAGAAATTTCATTTTTGAAGCAACGAATAATTGATTTACATGAAGACATTTAATCCGAAAGGCAAAAAACTTGATAAGAACTAATTTTTTGCATTTAATTAATTTGTTAATTAAGCAATGGAAACGAAAGAACGATTAATCAAAGTAAAATTGAACTTTAGAAGCCTTGTATAATTTTAAGAAAAATTTAAGAAAAAGAATGACAAACAATTAAAAATTTATAAGTGATAGCAAATTGTAGGGAAAAAAAAGAAAGCTGTAACTAAATGTTAAAATGATTAGCAATAAAATCTTAGATTTTTATTTCAGTACAGGATTTAAGCAAATTGAATTATTAATTAATTTACAATTCGTGGAATATCAGTAAGAAACATGCTAAAAATTGCTTCAGAAAAATAAGTAATTTGATCAAAAATTTAAAAATTCAATCAAATATTTCTATATTTGAATAATAAATGTCCCTTATGATAGCATTTTAAATTTCTTTAATTCATAGAAAAATTCCTCCAACTTATTTCAATCATAAAATTATTAGTTAAAACAATTATTTACAATTGGGAATATTTGATAAATTTATCAAAATTATCTTTTTGTTTCTTTTCCTTTTTTTTTCCATTTGTTATTTCAAAATTTAATCATACAAATAATTTTCAAACATTTCTAATCATACATATGCAACATTAATTGTGACAGCAAAGTTTTTAATTATAAGAAATTTTTGGCAACAAATATGTTTGTTCATTTACAAATGTTAAATTATTTATTTGTTTATTGAATTTGTTCATTTATTGAAATTATTTTTTTCTAAAATTTGATAGCATTCATTCTATTATTAATGAATTATTATTGATCCAAGAATAAATCAATTGTTCATTCTTTTTCTTCTTAATGCCTAATTCCAACAAATCATTACAACATTTATGGATTGAAGAAAAAGAAACGAAATATATTTGTATTATTTATTTTTCGTCATTTAATCTGAAAAAAACAATTGGCTAATTTCGGATCGATAACATTTAATTTCTCCTATAACATTTCACTTGACATATGCACATTAAATTTTCCGGAATGTTTTAAGTTAATCGGAAGAAACTTCAAATTAGCCAATGAAAGTTAGCTTATTTCAGTAAACGAATAAATGTAGTAAAAAAATGATGAAAAAACTGAAAAATTGATATAGCATTTTTAATCTTTTTTCTAGTTTTTATATCTAAATTTGATGCAAGATTAAATTAAGACTAAAAAACATAACTGAAATAATCGAAGAATTTTGATGAGTTATAATTAATTCAAACAATTAATGACCTGATGATTAATTAAAACATGACCAAGAAAATTAAGCTTTTTTTTTTCTTGAGGGTAAATGATTTCTGATGTTGATTTTAATTTTATCAAATTTTAGTAAGTATCCATCATCCCAGTTGGCATGAGGGAAGTATTCGAATTTGTTCATCTTATCGAGCATTTACAACTGATAAATTGGACGCTATTCTTGGTGTACGTATGGGCCTTAAACATCTTAACGTCACTCTTACAAGTACATTTTAAATTTTTGCAAAAAAAAATTTCGATCAAAATGAAATTATGAAATGAAATCAAACTGTGCCAAGAATGGATCGTGGCAAAGTTCATCTACCTGATTTTGTCATTAGGACAACCAAGAATGAACAAGCCTATAGTAATTGAAAATTTTTTTGCAATATTTAGACTATTATTTTAAAATTAATTAATTAAAATAATTTTGACTATTGTTGTTTTACATCCAATTACAAATTACATTTTTAGACTATTTCTAATATAATAAATAATTAATTAGTTTCATTATTCAATAAAAACTTGCTTTATTTAGGCATTCGAAATGTCACGCAAACAATGAACCTTTGAAGTTAATTAATTAAATTAGTTAACAGTTAGTTTCATTTCTTTATCTTCAGGCGTACCAATATCTGAAAAAAAACACAATTCATTAGATGGTTTGAAATACAATGAACGGTTCGAATTTTTAAACGGTTTGCCATTCGTTCGTTTAATTTATCAAAATTAACAAAATTAATCAATTCAGTTTGGAAAAAAAAATTTTTTTTTTTTGTCAGTAGCAATACAAATATTATAGAAATAGTTTTTAATCAATATTTCGCGACACATTCAAGATTAAACTATTTAAGCACCAAAAAAGAACTTATGCATAATTTTCATTTTTTAGATTCTATTCTATTCATAGCAAAACTTAAGCTTCATTTACTTTTACAAATTTCTACAATAAGCCTATTTTTGGAGTATATAAAAATAAGAAAATGTCGAATAAATATTATAATCGATTTAAATTTATAAAATATATCACTTTAAATTAAGTAATCGATCAATTTTTTTTTTTTTTTAATACCATAAGATTTTATTTCAACACAAATTGACAATTAAGATAATGTGCATCAAAGATTTGTTAATATGATAGTGAAGAATTTTTTGCAGTATTTTCAATGGAAATGGAATTGGCGAAAAGTTTAAGAAAAGGTTTACCGTATCCAATTCTGAAAATAATCGAATATTTAAGCGTGGATCGTGCGGGATTTGTCTGGGGCAGACAATATCGTCTTACTGGCCATTATACCATATATTTACTATGGTAGGATTATTCATAAACTTTGTTTTTTATTTGAAAAAATCAGAAGTAATAATTTTAATGAAAAAGGAAAAGTTGAAATAAAATCATTCGTCACTCAAACTTAAGTCACTTTAGCAGAAAATAAAATCATTCGATATCACTTTAACAGATAAATTGATTATGAGTTGATTATTTAAGCATTTCATTAATATATTTAATAATTTGAGCAAAAATAATTTCATTTTAGATTTTAGATTTAATAATAATTTCATTTTAGATTTTAGATTTAATAATAATTTCATTTTAGATTTTAGATTTAATAATAATTTCATTTTAGTATTTTAG